GAGACCCCATCTCTACAAAAAAAAATATATATATATAGTATTATAGGAAATTAGCTGGGTGTGGTTGCACAACCTGTCGTCCCAGTATTCAGAGGCTGAGGCTGGAGGATTCTTGAGCCCAGGAGTTTGGTGTCACAGTGAGCTATGATGACACCTCTGGTACTCTAGCTTGGGTGACAGAGTGACTTGTCTCAAAAAACAAGCAAAACAGCAACACAAAAAAAAGTATTGTGTGGTTTTTAGAACTAGACTATTTTTTTCCCCAATACATCTCACAGCAAATCAGAAGAGTGGTGGTTATAGATGTTGCTTTTCAGTTGGCCCTGAGGTTCAGAGCTGTTGTTACAGTGTAGAATTGTAAGTTATCTTACTATATCACTGATTTACTGATTCACAAAAAATTTAATATCTTCTGCTGCACTCAGCTGAATACCCCCATGACTAGGCAGACATGGTCCAGCGCTTCTGGATGAATGGAGGGAGCTGACAAGGACATGGTGATTTGTACTTTGTAGGGCATAGGATGTCTGTTGCTCAGGCTGGTTTCGAACTCCTGACCTTGAGCAATCTGCCCGCCTCGGCCTCCCAGAGTGCTAGGATTACAGGCGTGAGCCACCGCGCCCAGCCCTGTTCAATATTTTTATCTGCAAACTATTTTAAAGAGAAAGCTTTTTCCCTAGCATTCTTGCTATGAGGACAGATGCAGATATCTGACGGGCCTGAGTTTTGGTATAGGATCTGCCACTGTATGTCTTTGGACTTCAGTCTCAACTTCAGTTTCCTCAACTGTAAAGTGGGAATAATAATGTTGACTGCATCATAGGGATATTATGAAGACTAAATAGGATAATAAATGTAAAGGGCTTAGCATGGTACCTAGCACATAGTCCATACTCAGTAAATGCTCACTGTAATTACTGTTGCCTTTACTCTTTATTGAAGACTTGCATGTGAAGAAACTGGTATATGGTGGGTAGAGTCTGCAAGAGGAGAGGGACAGGCCTCAATAAAAGCTGAACTGTCTCTCCAGCCTCACCCTTCATATGGAGGGCTAATGGCCCCATACTGACCATAAAGTCCCTATAAGAAGGCTGAAGGTCCTGGGGTCATCTTCCCCAGACTGTGGAAGTTCAGGGTGGTTCTGGAGAGCCTGGGACCAGGGCCAATCCTAGGAGTCACAGTTACTACAAGGAGGGCCCAAGCAAAAGCAGAGTCAAAACCAGGACCAACCTCGGAGTGCCCTGGGTCTGGCCTTGGCCACCATGACTGGTCAGTGACTGTAGGTGCAGAGCCCCCTCCATCAGTGCTAAAAGGGTCCCAGGCCAGGCCTGCTTTCCCAAGACTGAGAATCAGAACAGGAATGGTCGGGAGGGGAGGCCAAGCTCACCAAGTGTGCCCACACCGGTAAGGTATGTTTAACATTGAATTGGTATTGCAAGGGCTCCTGGGTACACGCCTGCCTATAAGAGGCAGGGCTCACATCTACCTTCGTCAATCACCGGAGAGGCACACTCCTGTTCTCAGGCTGTCGCTGGCATGGCATGGACCTTTGTTGATTTTATTTCTGTTTCTTTTTGCACCCAAAGCCATAACCATTGTTTAAGATTTGTTTTCTTTTTCTTCTTTTCAGACCCACCCTCTAGTTGTGTACTTCCATGCCTGCTTAAAGATCCACTTTACCTCTTTTTGGAAGAATACATTTCCTCACTGGCTTGTTTATCCCGAATTTGTATTGATTCACTTTTGACCAAACACTCTCAGGGTGTTGATCTGGGTAACCTGGGAAGTTGAAGAAGGTGTTGAGATTCCTTATCAGTGCCTTTGATGGCATTTTACAGCTAAATAGTCTTGGGGCCACAGGTTATGAGCCTACCTTTGGGGGAAGATAAGGACTAGATCACCAAAAGATTGAACTTCTCTCTCAACCTGTACTTGTGATTTGTTATATTGCAGGGAGAAGATATCAGATACACAGAAAGACTGGAAGTTCTTTGAGGTGAGTCACTTAAGTTTTGGGGCTTTTCTCTTTGATATGAAACAGGTATAGCAATAAACAGTAGCCATTTGTCAGGTACTTACTTTTAGTGACTGTCCTTTCTGAAAAGGCTGTAACAAGCTATTTGCTACAACTTAAGTTTTTGGTCTGGTTTCCCTCCTGCACAGGTGAGTATGTGTATGATTTTGTACTGTGTTTCAGGAATACTGAGAAATTGGGTCATCTGGGGTTGCCTCTACTTAGCGGTGTTATTCAGACAGGTGGGAGTTTTCCACATCACAACCAGGGATGGTGATTCTTGTCCGTGTTTTCTTGTTTTGTTGTAGTCCTTTTACACTTTCTGCACATACGTGGCTTGGATTGTTTTCCGACGTGAACACTTCACAGAGATTGGGGAAGAGATAGGGAGGCTCTTTCGTACCAATATGTTCAACATTCCCCGAAGGAAGCGTGAAGATGAAGAATCTGGAGGGGAGAAGAAACGCATGACTTTCGTACAATTCAGGTATGACCTTTTGCCTTTCCTAAGCTCAAGGACATTTCTAGAAAACGGGATGGTATGACCTAAATGTCACCTCTTTCACCCCCATAGGAGAATGATGGCAAAACGCCCAGCGATTAAAAAAGCCATTAACATGCGCTCTCCAGTCATGTCTACTCTGCTGCCATCTCTCAGAGAAAAAGCTCAGAATATCTTTGAGAAAAAGTATCTTCACACAGGCAGCAAACTCCCAGCCCAGATACAAGAGGAGGTGGAAAGTGTGTACTCTGTGCCCATGCCAATGTAAGTGGACCGGGGAGAGAGACAGGAGAGGCCTGAGTGTGGCCTCCCAGGTGGGTTGGGGAGGGACAGTGACGTGGGCACCATGCCTCTGCCAGAGAGTTGAGCCAGGGTGACAGGCTCCCAGCTTCCTGCCTCACCCTGCTCCTCTCCCTGTTTCCCTTCCACAGCAGCATGGGGTACACCCATCTAGACTAGAAAGTTATGCCAGGTTCCAAATAGTTCTAGTTTAGAGGGGTGAGTAAAAGATTTTTTTTTTAAAAGGCTGATGTTTTTCTATGAGAAGAATCATCTTTGGGAAATGTGGGAAGGGGCTAGTACAAAATCTTGCCGTGGATTGAATTTTGGACCCATATGTAAGACCATAGTGATGGTTCATGGAAACAGGAAAAGCTTTAAAAAAAGAGTCTTAGCTTTAGTGTCCACACACACACTCACACTCACTCACAACCACAGTCACAACCCCGCACCTGGGTCTTTGGCCTCAGTGCTTCAGCTATACCAATAATTCTTTTCACAGAGTTGGCATCTTGGGGGAGCCTCGGAGTATGTTCAACCCCCATACCCTTCTCCCTCTTGAAATCGAAGAAACTGTGAAACCAACTGGGAAACATCCTTCCCTGGTCGAAAGAAATGAAATGAAGATTCAGCATACACTGGACTTAGTCATGAGAGCACTCGGCTCTCACATATGGCCTAGATAATCTGGTACATTCCATTTCTGTAATTAAGTACCTGTATTTGAAGTAAACTGCTTTGGCTTAATCACTTTATATAGGACTAATATTTGTTATTAGTAAGCTTTTAAAATGGTTCAAATTACTTTGTTAAAAGTTCAGCAATAGACTATTAAATAATTCTACAAAGCTCTTGAAAAGCTCATTTTCCTATATTTAGTAGTTTGCTTTGTTATTCATTTATTTTATTGACTTCTATGTATGTGACTACGTAGGGTAATGTATCAGAACATTTAGCCAGTGTCTAGTGCACTAGTGAAGAAACATTCTGTTATTCATTTCTTTCTTTCTTTCTTTTTTTTTTTTTTAGTCAAAGTCTCATTCTGTTGCCCAGGCTAGAGTGCTGTGGCATCAACCCAGCTCACATCAACCTCAAACTCTTGGGCTCAAGCGATCCTCCTGCCTCAGCCTCCTGAGTAGCTGGGACTACAGGCATGCACCACCATGCTCGGCTAATTTTTTTTATATATATTTTTTAGTTGGACAATTAATTTCTATTTTTAGTAGAGACCGGGTCTCTCTCTTGCTCAGGCTGGTTTTGAACTCCTGACCTTGAGCGATCCACCCACTAGGGTGGAGTGCTAGGATTACAGTCGTGAGCCACTGCGCCAGCCTGTTATTCATTTCTAACTTGAATTTTGCCTTATGAGAAGAGCATCTTTGGTACACATGGAAACAGAATCATAGTCAAAAGGGCAATTTGAGACTTTTTAATATTAAATCTCTTTATATGGCTATATTATTATTGGCATTGGGATATAAAGTATATCTAATTCATTTAAAAGCCTTTTAATGAAGCTGGGTGCGGTGGCTCATGCCTGTAATCCTAGCACTCTGGGAGGCCGAGGCAGGTGGATTGCTCAAGGTCAGGAGTCCAAAACTAGCCTGAACAAGAGCGAGAACTGTCTTACTATAATAGAAGGAAATTAATTGGCAACTAATATATATAGAAAAAATTAGCCGGGCATGGTTGGACCAATGCTGTAGTCCAGCTACTCGGGAGGCTGAGCAGAAGGATTGCTTGAGCCCAGAGTTTGAGGTTGCTGTGAGCTAGGCTGACCACAGCACTCACTCTAGCCTGGGCAACAAGCGAGGACTCTGTCTCAAAAAAAAAAAAAAGCCTTTTAATGTATATGGTTCATTCATTCTTTCATTTATTCATTTAGCAACAGATATGTATTAAGCCCCTATTCCATACAAAGCTTTGTGCTAGGATAGGAAGAAAAGATCAAGACAAAGACTATATCCTCCAGATCTGTATAATAGAGAAGATAAATTCATCATCACAATACAGTATTGAATGGGTTAGACGCCATAAAAGAGGTAACACAAAGTGTGCTGAGAAGACAGAGCCATGGGACAATTACTTCTGGGGGGACCAGGAGAGTTCTTGATTTGGATTTGGCTTCTGAGGGGCTTGGGTGGCACTGAAGGGGGACCTGCAGTCTGTGGAAGAACATGTGCAAGGGCACAGAGATGAGAAAGCGTGCCTGTGACTGGGAATGTCAAGTGCATGATGTATGTAACAGGGAGCCATAGATGGGCAGGCAGGAAAGATCAGCTGAGCCCTGAATGTCCATCTATGAGTGAGTTGGATGTTATTTGGTAGGTAGTGAAGATTAGGAATTGCTAACAAAAGCAGTTCATGGCCAGGTGCAGTGGCTCATATCTGTAATCCTAGCACTCTTGAGAGGCTGAGGCAGGAAGATTGCTTGAGGTCAGGAGTTTGAGACCAGCCTGAGCAAGAGTGAGACCCCGTCTCTACTAAAAATATAAAAAAGCCAGGCTTGATGGTGCATGCCTGTAGTCTCAGCTACTTAGGAGGCTGAGGCAGGAGGATCGCTTGAGCGCAGGAGTTTGAGGTTGCTGTGAGCTACGCTGACGGCACTCTAACTCAGGTGACAGAGCAAGACTCTGTCTCAAGCTCGGTGGCTCATGCCTGTAATCCTGGCACTCTGGGAGGCCAAGGCGGGTGGATTGTTTGAGCTCAGGGTTGGAGACTAGCCTGAGCAAGAGAGAGATCCCATCTCTACCAAAAATAGAAAAAATTAGCTGGGCATGGTGGCACATGCCTATAGTCCCAGCTACTCGGGAGGCTGAGGCAGGAGGATCACCTGAGCCCAGGAGTTTGAGGTTGCTGTGAGCTAGGCTGACACCATGGCACTGTAGCTGGGGCAACAGAGTGAGAATCTTTCTAAAAATAATATAAAAAACAAAAACAAACAACAAAACCAAACCAGGTCACTAGCTGGAATATGAGCTGATGATGATATAATATCATTTTAAAGTTCTCTACTGGGATGGAGTTTAGTCAATTCAAACAACCGGACTGAATTTGCCTTTACATGGCCACAGGTTTATTCAGACTTCACAATCCTCCTTTTGGCATTCAGCTCATAGAATCCTGGACACCTTTAGCTTGGACACCACGGCAGAGGAACGGTTCCAGCCTGTTGGTGTGGCAGCTTCTGTCAAACAAGCACTCTGTCTTCCTCTCTTGCCCGTCACTATCCAGGTCAACTCCCACTACAACTCCTGCTAACACAGAAAGGTTTTTATCAAAATCCTGACTATCAGCTATCCTTCTTGGACTTTTTATTTATGTGGAGAATTTGGTTATAATGCACTCTTTCATAAAAATTTTTATCTAGAATATGTTAACATGGGTTGTTTTTTTTTTGGGGGGGGAGTGGTTTTGATAGGTACTTTTAAAAAAGAAAGCCTGGGAACTATCCCAGAAAGATAGTTTCTCTCTCTCTCCTTTCTGAACTATGAGGCTTTGGTGTGCTTCATTTATAAAACTCATTCATTCATTGATCATTTTTCACTCTGCAATTATTATATCCACTCTCTGTGCTAGGTGCTATGTTAGGTGCTGGGAATTCTGTGCAGACAGAATGTAGCCTGCTCAGTCGTGGAATTGCTCGTCTTGGAGGAACACAGGGATGAAACACATACTCAAATCATGGACTAATTGCACGGTGATGAGTGCTACAGAAGGGAAGGGAATACTGCGAGAGTAACAACCAGAGACCTGCTGCTGTCAGGGGGGACTGTCAGGGAAAGGGGAGGTCATCCCTGAGGAACTGACATTGAAATCTGAGGCTTGAAGACATAGGAGCTGGAGAAGTGGGAAGTGAGCAGGGGAATATTCCTGGCTGTCTTCATTGTCTATTGCTGCATAACAAATTACCGCAAATCATGGTGGCTTAAAACAGGAACATTTATTATCTCAGTTTCTGTGAGTCAGGAATCTGGGTGCAGTTAGCTGAGCCCTCTGACTTAGGGTCTCTTACAAGGCTTGAATCAAAGTGTCAACCAGGGCTGAAGTCATCTAAAGGCTCAATGGGGGGTTGATTTGCTTTCAGTATGATTCACGTGGTTGGTGGCAGGATCCATTTCCTCAAGTGCTGTTGGACTGAGGCCTTAGCTCCTCATAAGCCGTTGGCTCAAGGGCTTCCTCAGGTCCTCAAGGCCACCTGAGCCTCTCCACAAGCATCGCACAGCATGGCAGTTGACTTCATCAGAGCGAGCAAGGGAGAGGGAAAGTGTGTGAGAAAGACAGAAGTTACAATCACAACCCGATATTGGAACTGCTATCCCATCACTTTTGCTCTATTCCATTCATTAGAAGCAAGTCACAAGGTCCAGTCCACACTCAAGGGGAGGGGACCACACAAGGCTAGTGACTACCAGGAGGTGAGGATGATTGGGGGTGTGGGCGTCCCTGCCACACTGGCAGAGGAAACCCAAGTGAGAGCCTTGAGGCTGGAAGCAGAGCTCCTTCAGGTTGCTGAGATAAGGCTCTTGTAGGTATAGAGAGGAAAGGTCAAAGGGCGAGATATGGCTGGAAAGTAAGCAACAATTCCATTGAGGAAGATTTTAAAGTATGCGAAGGGTACACTTAAGGACAGTGGGGGTTGTCACAATGTGACTATGCAGTTTGTATCTGGCACAAACCCTTCATAAACGACGAGGATGTGATTTCGGGTTGACTGGTGAGGATTGCACCCTCTTCCCCAACTCTTTTATTTTGCAACAAGTACAGACCAAAGCACACACGGGAATGCTAACAAAACACATCCTCGAGAAAAAGAAAATAACAAAATGCGGTAAATCCTCTGCATGCTCAGACAACTCAAGTCAGTTTCAGACTGTGCCAGCGGCGGGGCGATGAGGCCTCACGTGGCTGTGGCGAGGATGGGCAGCACGCTTCCTACCCTGGGGAGTGTGTTCTCTTGTGGGGCTTCTCCGAGCCACTGACTCTGCAACTGTGCTGGATGCTACCCAAACACGTTGCTTCACTTGGGAATAATTATCTCCTCCCCCACGCTCACTCTTTCCCCTTCACACCCATCCTTTAGTGTGCGCTGATGATCACACCCTGATGCAGACACAAACTGAGCATTTGCGTGAGGACTCCAGAGTCTTGTGTTAGTGCATAAAAAGAATAAAATGAGGAGGAGCCCTAAATGTCATCTTAGAACTCACACTGTAACATGTTACCCATTAGAGAACTGTTGTGTGCAGCCTGAGCAAGAGTGAGACCCCATCTCTACAAAAAAAAAAATATATATATATATAGAAAAATTAGCTGGGTGTGGTTGCACACACCTGTCGTCCCAGCTATTCAGGAGGCTGAGGCTGGAGGATCTCTTGAGCCCAGGAGTTTGGTGTCACAGTGAGCTATGATGACACCTCTGTACTCTAGCTTGGGTGACAGAGTGAGACCTTGTCTCAAAAAACAAAGCAAAACAGCAACAACAAAAAAACCAAAGTATTGTGTGGATTTTTAGAACTAGACTATTTTTTTCCCCAATACATCTCACAGCAAATCAGGAAGAGTGGTGGTTATAGATGTTGGCTTTTCCAGTTGGGACCCTGAGGTTCAGAGCTGTTGTTACCAGTGTAGAATTGTAAGTTTATCTTACTATATCACTGATTTACTGATTCACAAAAAAATTTAATTATGCTTCTGCTGCACTCAGCCCTGAGAATACCCCCCATGACTAGGCAGACATGGTCCAGGCCCTTCT